TCTGTCTCTCTCTCTGTCTCTCTCTCTCTCTCTCTCTCTCTCTCTCTCTCTCTCTCTCTCTCTCTCTCCCTCTCTCTCCCTCTCTCTCTCTCTCTTTCTCCGTGTTTCATCAGGAAAATACAGTAACAGACGTGGACTCTCCTCCCATGGGTATCATTTATTATGTGATTTTTCTAGCTACTGTACACTTGAACAGCCATTCCTCTGTGCAGAAAACTAAAACCAAAGACAGGATCTTGTATTTATTAAGCAAATAATATCTGCCAGGCACTTCATGTGAATCTCATAGATATATTTTTCTAATTTGTCCTCAAAAATTCCCCATGAGGTAACATTAACTTTATTTGTCCAAAGAGGTTAGGGAACTGAGCTTTAGAGTGTTAGACTGAACTGCAGAGTCATTAAGAGAATACGGTGCAGAATCATTAATGAACTCCCATCTAACTCCCAAATCTACGTTTGTCTATCTAAATTAGACCACCCTTATTAGGCCAGAACACTAGGAGTTTTGCAGATTTAGCGCGACTGCAGGAGAAATTTCTTTGGAAGCTGTAAACTGTCGCAAGGATGCGAAGGATTCTTCTTATTCGATTCTCTTTCAGTGGGCTCTAAAGGCCATGGCTCCTTGCTGTGCTCCCAGCTGGGGCTCACGTGCCCCAGAAGGCTGGGCTGGCTCTGTCTCCAGCTCTGAGCAGCAGAGAGAGGGCCAGTCAGTCAGGAAATCATGATTATCAACGCTCCACGCTCTGTTCCTGTTCTCAGACAACAAGGAACATGGCTGGAGAGATGGGGGTGGGGGTGGGGAAAGAGGAAGAAAAAACAGGAAGAGAAGGGGGAGGAGGGAAGGAAATGATAGAGAAAACACAGCAACTCTAAAGAGCCCTTGGCCTGATGAGAAAGTGATTTCTGAGCCCACGTTTGTGGGGCTGGCCCTGCATTTTGGGAAAGCAGGTCACAGCGGCAGCAGAGAGAGACGTGGGGTGGGTGCCCCCGCCTTCCCACCACAGGGCACAGCCGGGGGAAAGGGCACCGTTTCCCACGGGCACTCGGGTGCGGACACCTAGCAAGGTGTATTTCTAAAGGAGAATCCTGTGGTAAGAATATCTCTCACCTCTTGGCTGTGGCTGAGAGGTGGGGTGTGCCCCCGAAGGACCTGAAAACAGGGGAGAAGGTGCTGAAGTGATCGGGTATCAGGCAGTGCTCTCCCGTCCTGCCCCCCACCCCCCAACTTTGCTTCTCAAACACTTGGAAAATCATGTCCTAGCAAGATTCTTCCTTTCTTCTTCCACGAAACGAAGAGTCAGGCAGGGGGAAGGGTGAGTCTCCTCCAGGCCATGAGCCTAAGGTACTTCCAGAATCTTTTCCTATCCATTTTGTCCACTCTACTTGTTCATAAGATACTTATAAAAATCTCCTAACTCCCAATGAGCGTCATCAGGATGATGTTCGCCTGGTAAGCTGAACAACCACACAAATAGAAAACTCTAATAATAACCTAATCGTACTTTAATACTAATACCAATAATAATTTGCAGCATCCTGACGGGAGCCAGGAGGAGGGCAGGTAATGTACAGGCTCTCAACAGGCGAGCCCTCAGTGCCCCCCGCTCCAGGGGATTCCTAAACTGGCTGTGCCACTGGAGAAGCTAACAAAAAAATACAGCCCCCCAATCTTGAGAAGGGGCCAAAGCTTCTGGAGAGCTTTTATGTCGCCAATCTGGCTCTGGTCCAGCGACGAGAATTTGCATAACTTGGATCCTAATCCAGCCGTCACCATGTCCCACTTTCTCCCATCTGAAAGACGTGATCACAGAGTTCCTACCAGGGAGGATCTGCCCCCGATTTTGTAAATTATTCCCCCACCATCCAAACAAACACAGAGAGACAAAAAGCAAGCACATCTTTGAAAGGAGTTCAAGCTTTTTGAAGTAATGGCTAGTGATTTCCTGTTTGAGTCACTCATGGGCCAGATGTCCACCAGGGAGAAGGGAGGTCAAGTGGGGAAAGACACTTACGACTCCCATCTCGGGCCCCCGCACGCAGCACAACCTCACACAGCATTGAGGCTTATTTGCTTCCGTTGCCAACAGTTGTGGACGGCCAGAGCTGCTGTTGTCACGGTGCCCCTGCCACATGGAGGACAGTGACACCACCTGAGGCCGTCGGAGTCTGCACTTCTACGGCACCTGGCAGCCAGCAAAATGCTTTTCGTTATGTTGTCCTCTGTGGTCATGTTAGGAGAGGTACAAACCAGAGGGGTAATTATTCCATCTTAAAAATGGGGAAGCTGAAACCCAGAGACATGAAATGACTTATCCAGAGTCGCACAGCAGAATCGGGACTAGAACAGGCATCTCTAACATGCACTGACCTGGGACCTTTGCTCGACACCATGTGCCCCTACCCCAGCCCCATGCAGTGCAGGGGTTGAGGAGTAGCTTAGAAGAGCTGTGTGTCTTCCACTTTTGAAAGTTCTGGAAGTGGGAAGATAGGGCAGGGGCAAACCGAAGAGAAGGCAAGATAGATAACATGGGTCAACATAAAGAGCTACGCGCAAACAGGCAGGATTTTAGATAACAACCCGGCTCCCATTCACTGTACATCTACCTCCCTCAAACCTCGCCGTATCCACACCAGGCAGACTCTGTTCTCGCTCCCTTTTACCAAGGAGGAAAGCGAGACACTGGTCTAAGGTATTCAGCTTTCGAGTGGTAGAGTCAAGATTTGAATTCAGATCCCTATGTCACGCTCCCTCTCCAAGCAGTTACATTAAAAGAAAAACACAGGGTGAGGCAGGCAGAAGGGCAAACCAGGGAGAAGGAACAGGGAATAAGCTAAGAGCACTAGGAACAGATGGCACCTCCATTCAAAAGGCAGAGGCAGAAGGCAGCTCTCCAGCTGAGGATATTGAGAGGCGCTGCCCAGGCGGGACCAGGAATTTGGTCCTTAACCCTCCTAGGGCGGCAGCCCCTCAGAGACAGTCAGTGCCAGTAAATGACATCCTGGCCTCGGTGTTTACACAGCAGCTCTCTTGGGAAGAGGAAGTAGGCTAGGCTGGGGAGGCGGCAGAGGGAGGACCAGAGACATCAGGGCGGGTGGAAGGGATGAAGTCTTGGGAACCCAGTTCCCACGTCAGTGGAGGAGGGACCTGCTCAGCAGGCGGGCAAGTGAGATGCTGCCCAAAGTCCCCACCTCAAACACTGCACACGCTCCCAGGGACAAGGGGCTCTGGTTCAGCCTCATGAGGACCTGGGGGAGTGGGGCAGGACAGGGATTATCCCTCGGCCTTTCAGAGATGAAGCGATGAAAGCCAAAATAATAATAGTCACGAAATAATAATAATAATAATAAAAATAAAAATAAAAAATGCTCACCATTTGTTAGCAGCCTATTATGTGTCAGAAAATAAGCTAGATGCTTTACATAGCCTGTTTAGTGATCACGCCAACTCAGGGGGGGCCGTACGATTATTCCCAGCTTATAGCCGAGATATGCTAAGTAATTCACTAAAGGTCAAAAGCTAGGTGGCTATGAGAAAGGATCTGAAGCATTGTTTATGTGACATTCTGTCCCATGATGTCACCACCTGTAACCCACATATGCTGCGAGAGGCTGACTTGCCTTCCCCATCGTGGTGCAATGGTGCTAACCCACAGCCAACTTTTGAGCTGTCGAAGCACATGGTACAGGTTCTTACTTAAATATATCACCTGCGTTACATCTATATTAAGTGTGTGTCCATGGTCACTTATAACTAGGGTGACCATGTGGTTTATTACCCAAACTGGATACTTCTCAGTTTGAAAAAGGGGCCATTAACAACCCTGGGACAGCAGGCAGAAACCAGAACTGTCCCAGATACTCAGGACATATGGTCACCCTGATACAACCCACAGTCCAATGAGGCCAGTTATTTTTATGCCCCATTGTGTAGGTAGAAAACTCTCCCAGACAATCCTCTGCTTTCTAACCCACGCAAATACTCCTTTGCACCAATTCATTCTTTGCTCACCGGGATGTCTTCTAAATCCACTGGGCTCACAGGCCTTTTATATAAAACAGGCTGATGCAACTTGGTTATAAAGCAGTCAGGCTATGATTTGAGAAGTAAGGGTGCGACTAGCTGTATCCATATATTTTTAAAGGACCGCTGGGGTCCCTGTGCCCTGGCACCCACGACCTGAAAGCACAGCTGTTCCGATGACCAGCTGGTTCCCCACACGTGAGGGCTTGGTGGCTCTTCTACTAAGGCCACCTCAGGCAGCTGTACGGGCGACCAGTGTGGGAAGC